ATGAGCTTCAATAAGGTATAAAACGATGTACTTTTTGAGAAATTAACTTTTTTAATAACAAATATAATTTTTTTCATTGAAACAAACGATTTTTTTACAGTGTATATTTTTAACATTATTGCTAAAATTATATCTACAACTTTGCTCAAGAAACCAAATCAATCCAACAAACCGTTTCAGCAATATATATTTTTAAACTCATTAGTACTATTTTTACACAGGCCCTGTTAGAAAAGTAGTCGTGATTCAATTTGAAAAACTGATAACACAAATTGGCATCTTTACTAAAAAAGAACAACTGTGCAAATTTTCATCAAAATCGGAGCCGACAAATTAAAAAAAAAATTAAAAAATTCGTCAATCTGTAGAGAATTGCTCAGCAGTGTTGGCAAAATCAGAAATCAATTGATATTTTTCCGCTCTCATGCACTCGCAATATCACGCGTGGTATTGGAACAAAATATTATGCTTGATATTGATTTTACAAGCTCCTTTGATATTGCGAGACTATTCACAACGTGTAAAAATCAAGCTGGGAGTTGACTCGACACAAAAAGGGTTCCGTTGCACATCATTTTCTTAGAAAGTGAAAGTATAGTTTGCCATCTCTTTTTACTTTTCACCGGTGGCAAACACGAAGTGACTGCTACCAGCCGTTATGGAAGTTTCGGTTGCATTCGGGTGTAAATCAAAAATCATGAAACTCAATCTCACCACAGTTTGTTGAGATTTGCAGCTGCTGAGTTTTGTTAGCTTGATGTTCCGAGCTGCGATATCACAGCTTGCAAAATTAACCGCAGTTATTTGCTTGTTGATTTTTGTCTACAAAAATCAAGCGTGACCTTGGGCGTTGGTGAGATTTGATTTTTTGATTTTTTCCCAACACTGATCTGAAGGATCGAAAATGAATTATCCAAATCGATATCCATGAAGGATTACCTCGGGTAGGGTCCAAACAAGGATCGAAGAGGAATAAGGTAGAACATTTACAGGTGTATTGAGCACTGAAAAGTGCTGTTTAAATTTGTTGTAGCTTTAGGTAGTAGTAACACTTCCTTCAGCAAAAAGCAAATAGATCCGCACGGCAAGAGAACACGATGCCGACTGAATTATGGCACCAAACTGAAAATGGTGATCATGCAACCTGTTTTTGTCATTGCACCGTAAAATTCAAATTATTGTTTTTCAACAAAAAATTTCAGAGGCCAGTACTCTTTCGGTAGCGCAATCAAAAACTCGACTATACACTACGATATTGACAAAACATCTTTGGTTGCTTATTCGAGCTAAAAGTCATTTGCAAGGGAAACCATGTCAATTGTCAGTGATAATCCTGTCAGTGAAAATCCTGTCAGCGACGAACATGTGCAGTTTTTGTTATCATGGTGCCATTAAAGTGAACAAGCATTGTAAGCTGCGACTTACCTACCAGCCTATTGCTGGCCCGATTTTACCCCGGCGGGGCGGCCTCGAGCAAGGATACTTCCCCCAAAGACGTTCGGATTTGGGTGAAACAAAAGAACAAAAAGATAATGCAATTTTAGACGTCTATTATCCACTTATCTGTGTCCTCTTCCTCGCTGTTGCTGCTGCTGTTCGGTGGGGCCCTTCGATGACGGTCTGGCGGCGATTCTGCTGCTACAAAGCACGGCCTGTGCTGAGCGGTCTTGTTCTTCGGCTGCTTAGCAGCGGTCCTTGACAATTAGCGGGGCTCGTCTATTGAAACCCCCCCCCCTCCCCCCCGGTGACGTTGGTGACGAATCACCGGATTGCCTAATCGCCGTAGGCAACCCCGGCAGACACCGCAGTGTTTTCTGTCCAGGCGAACCCACCTCTGGAACTGCCTGCTTCGTCCTGCTTGACGATTAACTGCGGTGCCGAGACTGGCTCTATTGGCTGAGCCACCACAGTCAGGACGGCGGGTGTATACTTGATCCTTTTTGGTTAGCCAGGGAAGCAAATAGCTCCTGCTTCCCACAATGGCACCCTTTTCACTTGGTTTTCGCAGCCACGGAGCCGGCTTTCACTCGCGACGCGTTTGGGAAATCTTCCCAATAGGAGATGAGCTTGTTCTCGGGAAAATCGTCTCCGAACAAAAAAACACACGCTCACTCCACCGTGGCTTGAATTGTTCTCTCTGGATCTTTCACAACATCACAAAACAAAAACAAAACCGCCATCGCTCCTGCAACCGCGCTCAATACATTTATGTTGCTTTTTTATGATTCCGCCTTCTTTGCAGCGGGAGGAGCTTTTGGGACCTAACTTTATTTTTCTAAAACGATAATTTTTTACCTATCTAGCTAAACTAACAACATAAAAACCGAATAAAATAACGTGCAAAATTTACAAATTAAAATTATACAACAAAAACAAAGCATAACAAACACGGCACACGCTCGTGTGAAACACGGCTAAATTAAACTCGGTGGCAAAACTACACAAAACGGGATAAATTGTAACACGCAGGCTACAGCATCTATGCCCTTAACTGCCTGTGCAGTGTTGGAAAAGTTCGCGATATTTCATGAAGTTCACCAAGGGAAAAGTTCGTGAGTCATAGTGAGTTTTCGGGAGCTTTTCCATCACTGTGCCTGTGTAACAATAATGTGACAACCCTAATAAACAAATACCAAAAACGAACTCTCTCCCGGATGGGTTAGCTATCCCATAAATGGATTGAATGATTTCCCGATCACGTGGTTAAGGGGGAAAGTACAATTAGAATTTTTTTTTTCGAAAAAATTTTTGTTGGCTTAATTTACTCTATATGTATCTGGGAATGAGCATTTACAAGCATAAAGCCGTCCGGAACTTATTTAAAAAGTTATACGCAATTCAGTGAGTGCATGTCAAATGGCTGAACATGTCAAAGTTGAACTTTAAATGCTTCTACTGAAAAGTAGTGTTTTCAAAATCGCCGTGCAATGTACAGGTCAGAGTTTTCATTCAAATCGATTCCGGTTTTCTGTTTTACGTTCATAATTAAATTCTCCACAACATGAATAGAAAGATTGTTTAGATTTGTTTGTTATAGCATGTTTTTTTTTTTTATAAACAAAGTCGAAAAAAATAGGGTTTTTTAAATTTTTTTTTTCAACTTCAAATTTTTTTGTGAAAAAAACATTATTTTTACATACGAATTAATTCATGTTGTGCGCTGTACCTTCAAATTTAATGTCCTGTTTTTTTTTTGTTTCAGACTTGATCATGGACGTAGGGACTGACTGCACGGCGCGAAGTGCTGCTTTAAAAAATTGACTTCACATTATTTATAATAATTGGGCTAAATTGCAAAACTTTAAAAAAATGTCACTGATAATTAATCTTCATTAAATCCTTAATAACATACATAAAGAATCGCTAACATTCATTTATTTCCCTACTCGCAATCCACTCTCAAAGATAGGCCTCATTTTAGGCCTTCTAATTGTACTTCCACCCTTAAGCTCTCTTTTATGGTTATTTTAATTAGGGAAAGAATGCACAAAATTTCACTTTTTGCTACCAGTTGAATCTTTGATTTTGACGAAAATATGAATGAGATTTTGACGAAGGTTTTTCTGAGAATCAATTCTTCCAGTGACGATGTCATTGTATCAACAAGCATCAACGCTTGAGTCGGTTGTTATCGCGTTGCCAAATTTGCTAACACGCTGTTCAGGCTGCTTGTTTGACAACTTTAGTCGAGTTGCTATTTTAGTTAGCAAACAGGTTTCGCACCGGTTGTTGCCGGATTGGTGAAGTGAGCGGATGACGGGCCAGTGGGCGTGGGTGGGATGGCAGACGTCTTCCTTTGTTGGCACGATCGTCCGACCGTGGCAAGGCCACCTTGGTCAAGCCGAGAAAGGAAAACTCCTTGGTGATTATGACCTTCGTTTGGCCAGATAATGGAATTTGGTCCTTGACAATTAGGCTCGGAAACCGTTTTCAGTTTCGCGAGCCGGCCGTGTGCTGACGGTTCATCAAAAAGAGATCCTATTGGACGAATACATAATGAAATTACGGTTTTTGTTCCAGGGTGGGGTAATTAATTACCTGAACAATAATGATCCCTAACTTTTACCACTGCACTAAAATGCATCTTAGCACAAAGGCTCCTGATATTAGAAGGGGTCGGTTTTGGGAAATGGCCGTTCTTTTTACAAATTTCCATCACCCAGTCAAACTAGTTTAGCCATTTTGTATTTTGGTCTCTGGTGAACATAACGTAACTCCACAACATTTTCACAGCGGTACAGAACCCTATCACTTCTGCGGTATACTGCTGAGTACAAGAAACGAATTTGTTACCAAACGGTTACAAATAAGGAAAAATTAAGGCATCGTTGCATGCAATAAGATTTTGAATTGACTTAATTATTTATTATGACTGGATAATTTATTTAATGGTCATGCATTTAATTGTTCCATTAAGATAAATCCATGAGAAGTGTCCCTTCTAAAAATTATTGGGAGGCAAAAAGGGGCCATGCCCCCTCTAAGTTGGTGCCTATGGCTATGTTGCATTCTACTAAATATTTTTATTAGCTTTCAGGGAAAAATATCCAAGGAGAAATCAATCAGTTTTAACTTGCTAACGGCTTGTTTACCGACTCGACAAAAATTGAAAATCCAAATATTGAACTAACAATCGAACCAACCACCATGTGACATGACCAATAAGAAAGGGGAACTAATATCCTTTCCAACAAGGTAAACACATGAGAAATCAGTTGAAAAATTACCAAAGATATTACTTAAATTGGAATCATATAATTTTGGTTTGCTGCTCGAGGAGTCAATTAAAAACTGCATCATGCCATAACTAGTGCATTTGTGTAAGTAGCTCCCATAATTGGTACACCTCCCCTAGATGCATTCATAATCAGTCTCTCCAAACTCAAGCTTCTCAGAAGATCGCAGCTCCAGAGTGTCCAGAGAGCATCGTGCTCACATTGAGATCTCAGTTTCAGTTTCAACTTTGCCTACCGGGAGAAAGCACGTGTTGCATAAGATTGTTGTCGCGTGTAGTAACTAGCATTCCAATTACGATGAAACTGGTAGTATTGGTAATATTGTTTATTGAACTGACAGCAGCTCGTAAGATATCTTTATTCATTCATCTCAAATTTAACGTTGTAAGCAATGTGTTGATTCCTTGCAGAGTTCAACAGAATATTCTGTTCTTATAATGAGTTTTGCATTGACATTACCAAATGTCCCGCGTATAAAAACTACACCGAAGTTAAATTTCGAAACTGGCCGGAAAGCTTACGATCAATGGCAAGGGGCAATTTGTGCAACCAGGAAAGCGTCAACACAACGGTGGTACTCAGCGTCTGCTGTCCGTCGGTTATGAATAACAGGACCTGCGGCACTCAAGGAGACGATCGGATATCCAAAGGCCAAGTGGCGAAGCCATTCGAATTTCCATGGATGGCGCTGCTACGGGACAAAACTGGTGGATTTGTCTGCGGCGGAACACTCATAAGTAGTCGATATGTCCTCACAGCTGCCCATTGTACTAAGTATGCAGCTATGTATGTGTGAAAATGCTATTTTTTGTATTCGCTAAATAAATGCTGTTATGTTTTTGCAGAGTATCGGTAAGGTTAGGAGAAAACGACATCAATCAAGATGAGGATTGCATAGTTCTAGATGGCGAAAGAGAGTGCGCCCCTCCACCGCAGGACATTGCAGTTGAAATGAAAATTCAGCATCCCAGTTATAGCGATAGGTACAAGAAGAACGACATCGCTCTTCTTCGATTGCAAAAAGCAGCTACTTTGCACAATAGTGAGTATATTTGATAGCATCACTATAAATCAAAACTGCCAATATCTTCTTACAGGTGTTAAAACGATTTGCCTCCCGGACGGAACCCCAGGTCAGCGGATGCTGGAACCATCGTCCTACACCGTGTCCGGTTGGGGAATGACCGAGCACGGCACAATGTTCGACGTGCTTAGATACGCTGTGGTACCATCAGTCTCACTGGAGAGATGTGCCGTAAGCGTGCGTAATCTACTTTCTGCAGTGCGACTGGACACGAGTCACGTTTGTGCCGGTGGAATTGATCAGATTGACAACTGTTCCGGAGACTCCGGTGGACCGTTACAGTACATTTCCAATACAACGTCCCGGTTTGTCCAGCAGGGTGTCATTTCATTTGGAATTCGGTCCTGCGGAAAGGAAAGTGAACCAGGTGTGTACACTAACGTGGCACATTTTATCAGTTGGATCTTTGAGCATGTGGATGAATAGTGATGAACTTTCTTAAGGTGAAGCGGAACGTCATTCAACAATGGCTGTCTTTGCCATGTATATACATATACATACCACATATGCGTATGAAAGATATCTTCTCTCAAAAATATTAAATTAATGATAACATAGGAGTATTTTCGTATTTTTATTAATCTAAGCAGCGTCTGCACTTCTATTAGCAATTTCGCAGCGTCACGCACACATATGACGTGTTTTTTTGTTTATATTTTTTCTGTTGCTTGCCATTTTATTCATTCTAATCGACAGAATTGTCCAAAACGATTTGAAAACTACTCAGGTGTGTGTGACTATTGTCGGCAGCCTGTTTTTCTTTGGCAACCTTTCCATTTGAGCTGCGTGTTAATAAGCTGTTCTATTATCGGCAACTCGAAATCACCCGTACTTTGCAGTAAGTATATTTAATTTTGAAGAAAAACCTGACATAACAGGATGCTCAGTTGTAAAAATGCAATCAGATTAAAGCGGATGGACTAAGGCATCGTTTAAATACATTCAGCGAAGTGTTTTAGTGAGCATACAGTGATATCAACGTTTAAATTTAGCAATTTAGGTTGCCGAAAACAGACAAGAGGTGCCGAAGCCATCATGTACGTTACCTTAAAAAATGGGCCAGAACTATATGAACAAGATTTAGATACAAATTTTAACAGTTTTTTTTATCTACTAAGCGTGCGCGCATCTCACAACAGCAAAGCGATTATCTCCAAGATACGATTTTCCCCAACAGGAGCACTACCATAGAGGTAACACTCTCAGACCAGAAGGTTCCGAAGAAACGAGCTCAACTTTTTGACTCAGCTCTGGTACTCTCTTCGGTCCCAAGTTAATCGATGCACCCCTCGAAACATAAGAAAATCCACGAGCCCCTCATTTTATCTGTCAAAATTTCATAGCGAACCAAAGCAAACATAGTGTAGTACAAGAATTTCCGCTAGAATGGGGTACGTTACTCGATTTGCTTGGGACCAAATAGGCTAGTCAAGTAGTGAGCCAATTTAAAATCGTTAGTTTCGTATTGATTGTTGGCACTACTAAGTGACACGAAAGGTGACTAGCACACTGTAAATTGAACGTTTAGCAGTTGACAGCTGTCGAAATCAACTCACTATTGAGTAAAAATCTCTTCGATTCAGGGAAAAAATCGCTTTGCTGTTGTGAGAGGTACGCACGTTTAGTAGATAAAGTCTGGAACGCGCAAAAAAAGGTCAACTTCAAATTGGTGTATTTCTGTTGAAATTACATTAAAACTAACCTGAAATGCTGAATTTGGAAGTTGGGTGTATATACAATGATTGCTATGATGAGTTATCACCGTTTGCTCTCCAATTTTCAAAATGACGTCCAAGCAAAAGGAGCAGCGTGTCAAAATTTTGCTCGCGCAGCAAGAGAATCCGACGTTCTCACACGCCAAGTTGGCAAAACTGCTGGATGTGGCCAAATCGACCGTGACAAACGTTTTAAAAGTGTTCGGGGAGCGTTTGTCGACCGCCAGGGAACCTGGAAGCGGCGGCAATCGTTATCCGGACGTGGCAGCGACGACGAAGAAGGTGGCGGTGAAATAAAAGCGAAATCCTAACCTCTCCATCCGGGACGTCACTGGCACGCTCAATGTCTCCCATACTACTGTGCAGAGGGCCAAGAAACGAGCCGGGTTGTCGAAGGTGAAGGTGGCGAACCGAGATTACAAACAAAACACGTCGTCAAATCTGTATACGAATCTGGTCACAAAGTTCAACTGTGTCGTCATGGACGACGAAACTTATGTGAAGGCGGATTTCAAGCAGCTTCCGGGACAGGAGTTTATAAAATATCTCGTCTGGCAGGTCATATGCACGTGTGGTCTAAAGCGGCATTTTCATTAGCACGGGAACCATCATCAGATCTACGTCCAGGAGTGCCTGGAAAAGCGGCTGCTACCATTCTTAAAGCAACACCTGTGCTGTTCTGGCCGGACTTGGCGAGCTGCCACTATGGGAAAAAGACAATCGAGTGGTAAGATGCGAACAACGTGGTTGTGGTACCCAAAGACCACAACCCTCCCAAAATCCCAGAACTCCACCCTATCGAACGGTATTGGGCCTTGGTCAAACGGAATCTCAAAAAAAAATAATAAATACATGGAAACCAGCAGCAGTTTAAATCTAACTGGCGTTCGGCGGCGAATAAGGTCGATGAGACCACTATGCAAAATTAAATGGAGGGGTTAAGCGGAAGGCACGGCAGTTCGGATTTGGCAAATCAAAAGAATAAACGAACATTTTTTCCTTTAAATATATGAATTGAACCCTGGGGGCAGACAGCTTTTGATCATGAGTAATATTTGAGTTAATGTTGAGCAACTCTGAGCAACTCGAGTTGCTCAACATGCGATGCACGGTAACAAAGCAACCTTTTTGAGATTATTCCCCAACTGTCGAACAAAGACGTTCAACGGTGATAAATATTTCTCGCGTCACTTTTCAAATAGACCAATGTAACATATCCACCATTTTGAGAAAATCGAAGTTGAAGTTCGACAGATTATTATTTTAACTGTTTAAAAACAATACATTTTGCAATCCTATTTTTATTGTAGTCAGTGTATAATAACGTTGAAAATTCAGAAGAAACGGTTAAATCACAATTTTACTTTGAATTTCATGCTACAACATAGAAAAAACCACATAGGACGTTTTGACAAGTCGAGTTGTACATCGGACATGTTACATTGGACGATTTTTCTCAATGACATAATCAATGAGTGTTACATTGGACGTTTTGTCTACATGATACTATATTCCCTTTCACAGATTTCAGAGTATAGTACCTAACTTTAGATTGGCCCCGCCTTTGGAAAATGAGCACCAATCATGTTAGGCAGTCCGAATGACCGAAGTAACAAACAAGTAACCATCATTTCAAACTGTACATCATTTCAAACTGCAGATTGGACATTTTCGATCGATGATTTTCTTAAATAAATGAAAGTAAATTTGGATGGGTGTTTTTGTATCACATACAATGATAGAAGAGCAATAGCTTGTATCGCTTAACTCGATTTGTTTACATTTGTTACATTGGTCTATTTGAAAAGTGACGCGAGATTTCTAAATTTTGCTGCATCCCATTAACGAATGGTGAATCTTAGTGGAATACCTGCATACATAAAGAGAGAAAAAGGTGGTTTACATTGGATAACGATCCATAGATCCCATGACCTTCCTACTTCTGCGTGCCAATCCTCTGTAAGCCGTTTTCATCCGAATCTAGTACAGCCTGTTATCGGTGGACGTTAACCATTTGCATTTGCAGATTCAAAATACGAGCAATTTGCTCAAGTACAGTTTGAATCTCTGACTTTTGTCTGAATGCCCAAGAATTACTACTGATCTTTGAGGCAGCAACCTCATAGTTTTGCACTAACACTTGGGTATTCAGAGAAGTCTGTGCTAGAAAACTAATTCTGGTATTCATTTGATTGCTGGTTGCCATGATTTTCAGAAAAAATATCTATAAGCAATTCTATTTGCCACTAAGTTCGACCCGAGATTAAAAGAAAAGCAATGCATTGTCATCGTATAGCCGTATTTAAAATTGTATGTTTCAATCAAAACAAGTAAAGGTCCCATCCATCTTGAATTCTCAACTTATTCATTCTTATTTAAGATACTGCAATTTGTAATTGTAGACATGCAGAACCTCTGATTTGCCAACCGCATGGAGCCTCATAAAGAATGTTTTTCCGGGTTATACGGATGTCAGATGATCCATTTTTTACCTTATTTCCCTTTAAAGCAATGTTCTTTGATTACGCTTATCAGGGTGATTCATTCAATAGATTAAATAACGATTTGTGACAAGAATATAATACAATAATTCTCCTCCTCCTCTGACACATAATGTGTATGTACACTGTAGTTTGTATTTGTTGATGAATAGAAGGCCAGACTACTTTGATTAATTTTGCGTAATTATGAGTTACTCAAATTTACTCGGAGCAAAAATATTAACTTTGAGTACCTACAGCTGGCTTGCCCCTAGAATTGAACTACCAAAAGAAAAATTAAAAGATATGGTCTAGTTGGTGAGAGAGTGATTTTTCGGGGCGAGTTCAAACGTCGTCCACGAGTTTCACTTTTATGCTTTGCAGGACAAAGTGGATTACCGTGCGGGACCGAAATCCGTACAGCACCGAAATCCGTACACCCTGTTGAATTTATTTATTTATATGCATCACAACAATGTAAATATTATACATGAATACATATTCATGTTCATTCATGCATTAGCTTGATGTTTACGTCAACAATTAAGCAGTATGTCATACAATTAAAATAAGAAAAATAAAAACCTTATCACGTGTCGGGCATTTCTATCAATCGGTTGCGTTCTTAACGATTTTCTAAGAAAATCTCTCGGATTTACTTCCAGTTGTTAAGCGTATTTAAGTGATTTTTGCAAGTAGTTTCCTGAAGGTCGATCGGAAAGGTAAGTGTTTATCGTTTTATATCTCAATTCTAAGCAATGGATCATTCATATGGTATTTATTTATCAAAATTAGTACTGTACGGATTTCGATCCATATATAACAGCTGATTCTAAATCCGTACACTTGTGCATTCACAATGACGACTCCACTTCATCCAATGTTTTTCAGCAGATCATGGAAGCTAAATACACGCCGGAGGATTTGGAGAAGTCTGTGGCAATGATGCGTGCGGGGAAATCTTACCGAGAAGCATCCAGGGATTTTGCCGTTCCATTTACCACCATAAGAGATGCCGTATGGAATCGCTACTCTCTTATTTTATTCGTATTGTAAATGTTAAATTATTAATATCTTTTAATGAAGAACGTCAAGAACCAGCCGAAAAGAAAAACAGCGCAGCTCCTCTACACCAACACGCATATACAAATTACAGAGAGCAGACAGAAATGGGCAAGAGATCAATCCCAACAGTAGCCACCAGCGAGGAATGGCCGGAAATATACATGAAAGTGAACGGGAGAAAATTTATTAAAAGAACGCAAAGAAGCAAAGGATTGAGGAACGACAA